TAAAAAAAGGAAGTTTCTTGGCCTCTTGGTTTGCAGAAAGGAAATCAAGGGGAGCCGAATTAGTTGCTTCCTATCTGGGGGGAAAAAAATCTTCACTTTCCCAAAGTTATTTTTGGGGAAGTGGGTGGTGGAGGAGATTTGGTTTGGTTTCTCCTCTTTTGGAAGAGTATTTTTGGTGAGGTGGGGAAGCAAGGAATCCACCCCCGTTTTTTAATTTTTATTTTCATCGAGGCTTGAAGGGATCTACTGTATCCAGGGACAAGGAAGGGTTTTTTTTGGGGGGGGGTTAATTTTGTTTTTTTTTAAAAATCGCAAGAGAATAGGAAAAATGTGATTCCTCTCCCCCCTCCCCAGCCTTGGAAAAGCGTCTGAATTTGAGTTGGAAAGAAATCACCTTCCTGGAAATTGACTTCTTTTCTTTTGCTCTCCCGACTCCACTATTTGCAAAAAGAAAAGAAGAAGAAAAAAGCAGCAAAGGAAAAGACTCCTTTCACCCGGACTGGAAAACCAAACACCCAAGCCCTGGATTTTCGCTTCCATGGGAAGTCGGAAGATTTTCAAGGCGGCTCCTTATTAAAAAAAAACAAAAAGCGGTGGAGGAAAAACAAAAACGAGACTTGGGTGTCCCCTTTCCCCCACCACTTAAGGAAGCCGAAGGGAAACCCGGGGCTGGCAAAAAGAAGTCGCGACGACGGGGCCGACTCCAAAGTGGAAGTTCCCTCCTCCTGCGGGGTTCCCCGATCGTCCGAACCGGGCCAGCGGCCGGGGAGACCCGAGCCAGTTGGGGAGAAGAACGGCGGAGAGGCTCGGGCCCAGCTGCCTTCGGCTCGCCTTGCTTTTCACCCCGACGCCGCCGCTGCTGCTCTTCTCTCTCTCTCTTTCTCTCCCCCTCTTTCGCGTGTGTCTTTCTTGCCAATCCAGGGTGACGGGAGAAAAACGAGGCGCTAAAAGGGAGCAAGCGGACTCGATTCCTGGATTACTTCACACCCGCCCTTCTCCTCCTCCTCCTCCTCCTCTTCCTTTCCCCTCCTCTCTTTCGCTTGCTGGCTGGCTGAAGATCGTAAATCTCTCGCCTTTTGCCAGCCCTTTTGGATTCTCTATCCCCCCCCCCCCTTTTTCCACCTCCAGCCTTCGCCGGCCTTCTCCTTGCGCGGATTTCTCTTTATACCTTTTTGCCTGGCCGGGAGGCGTTGAAATTTCTTTTCTTTCCTTCCTTCCTTCCTTTCTTTCCCTAGGGTTAGCTTATTTCTTCCTGCTCCGGGCAGCCCCGTCACCCCTTCTTTTTCTCTCCCTGCAGTGCGTGTGTGTGTTTTAGAAAAGGAATAGGCCCGTTCTCTCTCTCTTTCCCTCCCCCCCATCACACCGCCCCATCCCTCCCTCCCTTTGATTGTGTCTCCCTCCTTCTCGGTCTGGTGTGTGTGTCGCTTGCTCTCTCTCGCTCCTGTCTCTTTTCTTTCTTGTCGGAGGCTTGTGGGATAATGGCGTGCGGGTTGTGGCTGTGAGGATGAGTTCCAGCTTCGTGCCGAACGGGGCCAGCCTGGAAGATTGCCATTCCAACCTTTTCTGTCTGGTGAGTGGCTACTTTGTATGTGTGTGTGTTTCTTGTGGGTTTTTTTTGGGGGGGGGGGGAGTGTGGGAAAGAGGCGTTGAAGGGCAGATCGCAAGAGATAAACCGTGCAAGGGAAAGGGGGGGAGGGGGAGGGAGAGAGAGAAAGAGAGAGAGAGAGAGATGAGATCGCCAGCAAAGAGGAGGAAAAGAAGGTGGGGGGAGAGAGAGAGGAATGGAAGCAAAGCAGCCATTTTTAGCATTCTGCTTGGAGGAGTCCTCTGGAGTAGGCCTTAGCCAGGAGTCGCCCAATTCTCCCTATGCCCCCCCCCCTTTCTCCTTCCTTCTGGCAAGGCGAATTGCTTACAAGTCTCTTTTTGCACTCTTTTCTCTCCCAGCGCTTTCCTCCTCCAGTCCTTTGTTTGTCATCTTGATCCCCCCCCCCAAAAAAAACTTTCGTTTTCTCCCTCCAGCCTCCTTTTTGTTGTTGTTGTGGTTGTTGTAGGTGGTGGCACTAGCAACTTGATTTCTTGTGTGTTTATTTGATCTCATTTTCATTCTGTCTAGCTGTAGCCCAAGGCATGCCTCTCCTCCCCCCCACTTTTTTTCTCTCTCAAGCTAACTTCTGCCTTCACCCCAACTCCCCTAATAGTAGAACCCTACTCAGATTGGAGATAAAGTGCTTCTGGGGGAGGGGCCTTGTTATTTGTAGGCTCCAGTTTGTTTGTTTTTTATTTTTTAAAAAAAAGGATGGATGGAGGCAAACATGCTCTTTTATAACATTGGTTTTCTTCTTCCTTCCGTGGAATCCAGTTGAGTTTCCTAGTCAGGGTTTTGACCTCTTTCTGGAGTTTTATTTAAATGCAGATTGGTAGCTGCCTTGACTGGTTGCTAAAAGTAGGTGAATTGCTTTGGATGACTGGTGTAAGGAATTCAAGAAGCTGAATATATCAGCAAGGCTGGCCCATTCGCAGAATTATCACTATTCAAACACCACCACCCCATTTCAAATGCACCAACTGTTGCAAATTTTGACACTCCAAGGAGCCAGCAGGATTGTTCTTGCTGAGATTAAAGAAACGGGGAAATAAATAAATCTATATCTATATCTATATCTATATCTATCTATCTATCTATCTATCTATCT